GGGGGGTGGGGTGGTCCTGCTGCTGTGAGGGGGCACTGGGAGAACAGACCCCCCCCAACTCAGCAGGGACGGTTGGTCCCCAGCACTGGGCCCCCCCCGTCCAGGTGCAGGGAGGTGCTGGGGAGCTGGGCAGCCTCGAGCCATGGTGCAGGGTCACCGGCAGCGCCGTAGGAAGTGGTGGCAATTTCCTCGCCGGCCCTGCTGGGCAGGATGCGTCTTGCAGTGGTGAGGCGCTGCTGCTAGGCTGGCACCCAAACTGACGGTGGGATCTTGGCCAGCTTCAGCTTTGCCTTCTTGTGGCCAAGGAAAACTCTGTGCCTCCGCTGGTAAACTCAGGTGCTAGCTTAATGTGAAAGGTGCTGGTTTGTTTTCTTTCCTTGGCAGATTTAAATCCCCCCCCCCCCTTAATCTTTCTGGAGGCCTCAACAGCAGGACAGACGTGCGGGCAGCACCGTCTCGGTGGCTTTGTGCCGTGGTGGTGTTCCCCATGGCACGCCATCCATGCCTCTCCTTTGGGAAGTCTCTCCCCATCCCCTGCCAGCTCCCACAGGGAAGGCTGTGGGAGCGTCTCCAGCAGCGGTGACAGATGGCACCACACGCCTGCTTCCCCGAGAAGCCAAAACAAGAGCCGAGCCAGTGCCGTGGTGATGAGTGCTGAGCCCGTCTTGGAGCGGGGCAGGTCCTGATGCTCAGGCGGGTGAGAACAGACGGGACAGGCCTGCCAGATGCCAGCTCGCGGTGTTCCTGCCACGCTTCCAGCCTCAACGCCCACCAGGTCGGCATCCGAGCAGCAGAGGGTCCTGCAGGCACTGTTCAACTCTCCCGCTCATCCTGGCCTGGAAAGTCGCCAGGATTTGGGAGCACGCGTGCTGCGAGCTCTCCCAACCAATTCAGCGTACCCAAACCCAACCCCATCGCTGGGGTCAGCAGGCACAGCCCCCCGCCTCACCAAATAGCAACACCACAAGCTTTTTAAACCTTCATTAAACCGGCTTAACCCCCCTCCCCAGCAGGTTCCTTGGTACTAATTGAGCTAAAGAGGGGAGCGGAGTGCAGCTGCCTCCGTCCCCCGCCAGGGCCGGGCACCAGGAGCAGGGCTGGGGAGCGCCCAGGACCCCGCTGGGTGCTGGTCTGGGGGGGGAGGAGCAGACCACAGGGCAGGGCAGAGCTGCTCAGCATCGCAAACCCTCCGGTCCTTCAGCAAAGCACTTAAAAATAGTCCCCGGCAGAGGCTGGAGCTGCTCCTGCAGGAAGTGCAGAGCAGCCATCAGTAATCCTGCAAAAAAAATACGGCATCTTTGTATTCTAAGGCTCGGAGCAGGACAACGCCTAAAGAGGAGAACAGCTGCTGGAGGAGATAATGGACTTCTTCTGAGGCCCTTTGATTTTCTAATAACTTTTATTCAAATACCATGAATTAATACTGATGGTCCGGCTTTGACGCTAACGAGTCAGCTATGCCCTCCAGCCAAGGACACAGCACCAGAAGTTAGAAGAGCTCCAACACCCAAATCTCCTTCCAGCAGCCTCAGGACAGAGCAGGGGGGATTCAAGCAAGGAACACAGACCACAGCAATGCCTTCCACCAAGGGCTGGAGCTCAGCCCCGGAGCACTGAGCTGAGCAGGAATAATGGCTTGAGGAGGAAAAATAAAACAAAACCCTAGAGAACCGGGCCACTTGCTGCAGGAGGAAGCCCTGGGCAGGGATGAGAGGAGCGATCGCACCCAGCACTGCCCACACTCCCCTTTCACTCAGCAGCTTTCATCCACAGCGCAGCAATTACAGGTGCAAGAGGCTCAGCCACCTTCCCCCTCCACACACGGTTAGTGGGGAGAGACAGGGCAAAGGGCTACAGCTTCAGGTTTGTCACAGCTGAGCCTCCGCTCATCTTGCTGCTTGGCAAGACGGGACACGGAGAAGTTTGGGGCGAGAGCTGGCAGCCTACAAACCACCCCTCATCCACAGCAGGACACAGGAAAGCTTTACAAATCTTCCCCTCTCCACTTCCAGAGGTGTAAGTTTGCAGTTACAAAGAGAAAAGTCTGTTCTTGGTCTGGGGGAGAAGGGGACAGAATCCCTGCTCCCTCGTTGCCAAAAAGAAAAAAGGGTTTTCTTCTTCCAAGGCAGCTGTTCCAGACCTTCCCGCACGGCTTCTCCAGGGGTTTCGCAGCTGACACCAAGAGGCCCTGGGCCGTTCCTGCGCCCCCACCTCCAGCACAGCCCCTCAGCTCCATCCACCACTCTGCCACAAGACCAGGGCTGAAGACATAGCGTGGCATGGCTGCTGCAAAGGGGTTTGCTCCCTGCTGCTGCCAGCGCAGGGTACGGTCAGCAGCATCGTGGAAAAAGCAATTAGTCAGGCCAGCATCTTCAAATTAACAAACTGTAATTTTTCTCCAAAGATACATTTTCCATACACATCCATCATACACTGTAACAAAAAAAAGCAGTGTACATGAAATAAGAAAATAAATTAAATCCATAGCATAGGTAAGGAGGACGCTCTAGACTGGAGTAGAGTCGAAAGTTTCCAGCGATACAAGAGGCTCAAAAGTTTGTTTTAACAAGAATGCCTGCCAGCAAGGGTCCAGCAAGTGTTTTAGGTCAGTCCAACTGCTTAAACAGTTTTATTTAGAGTTTTTAACAGCCATTATTGTCCTGCAACAGGCAGAGCTATTACATCCTGGGAGAAAGCCAAGAGGCGTCGTTAAGATCCAAGTAGAGCATCCAGAAGATAATCAGATTGGTCCTGCAGCATCTGTGCTAGCCATCCTCCTTGGGCGGTGTGTACCAGCCTGAAACAAGAAGAGAGATCCGTGAGGGACGAAGCTGCACAGGGAATGCAAATCAACACCTGGAAATGCACAGCTGGAAAAGCTGCTGAAAGCGGCAGTGCGAGCACGCCAAGTCCCACTTCCAAAGGGCCACATCTCCCAGATTACCGGGAGGCTTTCTCTCCGGTTTACTTCCCGACGCCACCGGGAGAATGACGCGCTGCCTCTAGTTACAGCCAAAGGAGCCCAGCACTGACCAGCAGGGCCAGTAGGGAAGGGCAGAGGGATGCTGCAGCCACACGCTCTGCGTTAGACAGCAGCTGCCGTTGCCGGCTATCATCTCGCTCCAGGTAGTCTCTGCACTTGGGGCAGAAAAAACTCAAGCAGCTCGTCTGGATGTTCGGCCTAGGGGAGCCCGGACTAGCGAGGGGAAATGCACGCCCTCTCCCTCAGCCCTTACCGTTCTTCTCGTGGATCTGAACCAGGGACTTGTAGGACTGCTGTGCTCTTGTCAGGCTGTACTGATTCTGCAAGGGAAGCCAGAGCGACAGTCAGTCCAGCTAGAACCCAGTGCAAGCCATCCCACACGCCTTCCCTACACGAACTGTGCTGCCACAGAGCCGGTTGTTCGCTCATCTGCCTCCATCCTGC